GGGCCACAGCGCCTGAGTGGAGCTGTGGCCCATAGCGCCCCAAATTTTAATTTTTTTTTTTCGTTTTTGAATTATTTTTTTACATTATATTACTTATTTTTTCAAATTTATATTTTATATTATGTGAATTAATTTTTTCTCTTTTATCTGTTGATTTTTGATAAATTTGTAAACAGTTTTTGTATTTATAAAATAATATATATATTTTCCTTAACAGGCGTTATGGGCCTTAATTTTTGTTTTTGTTCACAAAGCAGCCTTATAATACTGTCTACAATTCTAATTGCTGGAAGAAAGTAAACATTTTAATTGGTAAAGAGAAACACTTAGCAATTGAATTCATTTTCATTTCTCAAAAATTGGTAATAATCATTACAAGAAGATGCCTATTGTACAAAATTTCTCAACTATGTTAGTGTCCTACAGTGTGATGAGATTTATTGTCCATTCAAGCAAGAAGTTATATGTTGGAAGACATCTTCACTGCAAGGAATTGTGAGGCCACCCATGGGATGATCATATCCAAATTCTTCCTCAGCTTGGCACAACAAATCTTGGAAAGAAGGTTGGTTCAAGTATGACACAGGGATCACAAACCGCTTCATTTTCTCTCCAACATAGACAGCAAGATAGCCCTTTGGAACTTCTACGGATTTTGAAGCTGCTTGGCTGGATGTGAATGATGCCCGTCGAATAGAAGGAAAACGGAAACCCATATTTTGTGTTTCTTTGGAAAGAACAATCTCAAATTTACTGAGAATGAACCTAAATGTTGATTCTTGAGGATGCCAATAGCTTGTGTTGTTTGTGAAGGCAAAGGATAGTGTATATATAGCTTTTAAGATTCTCCAAAATCCAAATTCCTAGAGAAAGTGACTGTTAAAGGAAGGAGGGTCTAGACATGTGATATCACGTGGTGTGGTCTTCAGAACTTGTATCAAGCATAAAGTAGTCAAGCGTGCAACCCCCACCTTATCAACATAAAGCCACCACATGTAGCCAAATATGATGTGTCTACTGAAAACCTGAAGTCTGTTCATACAAAACATTAATTGGTATTCCATATTTTTGTTAACATGCTTTTGACATGTTTTCTTCACGTGGCCTAATGTTGAAGTACAGTACAGCTGGAAATTCATTTCTAGCTGATGAATTATAAGGCTTGAGATTGTGAGAGATCATTGACCACTATATATTCTTGAGGTTTGAGATCATACGTCTGTTTTATTTCAAGTGAGATTTGCACCAGAAGGCGGGACCCGTGTTGTCTACTATAAAATGTCACATTGATCTTTGCGAAAGTCCTCAAGGGCAATACAATACCATATGCCCTTGTCTCTCTGTTGGTCCCATATGACTCTTATATCATAGTCCTCCCCCCTCAATCATTCATGTAGTGAACCATTTCTTACAAATTCTTTCATCTATATATTTTCATGGCTATAAGCATTTAGGACAACAAAAATCATTCACATCCTAAAGCATTTGAAGTTCAAAAACTTGTATATCTTGTTTAAAAGAGTCTATTTTCATAATATTTTCATCCCAAGTCTCAGCACATACAACAATGGGTTTCCGTTTACCTGGTATCAGAAAGGCATCATTTGCTGAAAATCAAGCATCTTCAAAAGAGGGGAATGTACCTAAGGGCTACCTTGCAATCTATGTTGGAGAAAAAATGAAGCGGTTTGTGATCCCAATATCATACTTGAACCAACCTTCATTTCAAGATTTGTTGAGTCAAGCTGAAGAAGAATTCGGGTATGACCATCCAATGGGTGGTCTCACAATTCCTTGCAGAGAAGATGCGTTCTTGGATATACCACTTCTCTCTTGAGTAGGTGCCAAGAAGCAACAAATAATTGCTCCTCAATTTGTTCTTGATGCTCAGCAACTTGAGCTTGCTGTCCTTGGAGCTTTACTTTGTTTTTGCAGACCTTCTCCACATGGCCAAGTTGGTTGCATGCCCTACATTTGACTCCAGGTCTGAACCAGCAAAAATTTTCTGTATGATTTTTCTTTTTACAATGAGGGCAAGGTGGATACTTTTCCTTCCAAGCTCCTCCTTTGTTTCTGTCTTCTTCCTTTTTCCCTTTGCCTTTTTTCCCACCAAATGGCTTTTTACCAAAGCTATTGCTGCCTTGATCTTTGCCTTTGGTGTTAGCTGCAAAAGCACCTTCAACATTTTCTTCCATTCTTAAAGACCTTCTCTGTTCAGTAGCTTGCAGAGCATTCACAAGTTCTGCAAGTGATATTTGAGAAAAATCCTTGTTTTCTTCAAGAGATGAGATTTTTGATTCAAACCTCTCAGGAAGACAAACCAAGACTTTCTCCACAACTCTTTGATCACTAAGTTCTTCACCTAGCAATCTGATTTGTGTAACCACCTTAGAGAGCCTATCAGAAAACTCCTTCACTGTTTCAGACTCCTTCATTTTGATTGCTTCAAATTCTCTTCTCAGATTCAGCACCTTCATCCTCCTTGTTCTTTCACTGCCTTGGAACTCCTCCTTGAGTTTGTCCCAAGCCTCTTTTGCTGTATCAAGATTCAAAATCTTGATAAAAACATCGTCATGAACAGCTGCTTGTATGATGGCAAGTGCTCTGCCTTCTTTAGCCACTTCATCATTGTGAAATCTTATCTGAGCCATAGTTGGGTTGTCTGGTAAAGGAGCTGGATTGCTTCCATTTTCCACCACTTCCCACAAACTTTGAGCTCTGAGATAAGTTCTCATCTTTGCAGCCCACAAATCATAATTTTCTCCAGCAAAAACTGGAGGTGGAGGTAAAGAGCTGCTACCGGAAGCCATTCTGGTTTTGGTGGGTGTTCTGATACAGGTTTTCTGGTTGGTTTTCACTCACTCACAGGCCCTCTGTTTTTCAGATTTTTTTTTCTTTCTCCCTCACAGACCCTAAAAGATCAATGGAGCTCTTGATACCATGTTAAGAAAAACCAGAACAGAGAAGTTGAAACAGAAAAAACTGGAACAGAGAAGTTGAGTTTCTGGTTTTTTTTTGTTTCAATGAAAGGAAGAAAAGTGGTTACACAATTTCATTATTCATTTCCACACTCTCCGTAGAGTTGCATTACATCAAATATATGACAAGAGAGATTTCTGATATGCATATCATATGCTACAGTAAATCTCCACAAAATAAAGATAAACACTCCTTTTTACCTAAACATTTGTCCAAGCAACAAACAAATCTCTTGAAATATGGATTTCCACTTAATTATACCTAACCACACCAAATGCAACTAAGATACAAACAGACATAAATATTTAATATTTTCTTAAAGTATCTAGAAAAATCTTAACTTCTAACAC